GTGATTTATGGGTGGCAGTATCCTATGTCAACACCAGTTTAAGAAAGTGACGATATCTCTCAGAAATCTGTACTTTATTTAATAAATTATGGACCTAGCTTCCTGCTTCCATTAACTCTCCTGATTATGGACCTAGCTTCCTGCTTCCATTAACTCCCCTGATTTAAAAGAATTGACAGGCACACCTTCTTCACACATACCTTACACCAGCGTCCTCAGCTATATAAATATAGGTTGTTTTTTTTACAGATCCTCCTTGCTTCCCTTTATACTTCTCACTTCATCTATAACTAAAATTAATGTTTTAGTAACTGTAGCCATCAATCATCCTTTTTTCCCATCAATCATCTCACGACCCAAAATGGAATGCACGCACTGCATGGTCTGGGAGTTTGGTACATTTTGGCTCAGAGTTTGGGAATCCAGCTCATCATCTGATCAGCCCAAACTCTGCTGAATTGCAATTCATCCTAAAATGTATCTCCAAGTCCATCAAGTATTCTATGAAGCTAAAAAAAAAGAAGCATGGAAAATCAAATGTATGGATATATAAAGTATGTAAAATAAAACAGAATACTAGTTAAAGTGTTCAAAGTTTAAGACGAAGAAAAAGGACGCCAAGGACTGAGCACCTTCACAGAAGAATCCTCTGATGAATTTGTCAGAGAAATATCTTTGTGCCTCCAAAGGGCTCTGTGTAACCTTATCAGCAAAATCTAAAACATGTGGTAAACCTAACAAAGTGTTAAAAAAGATTGCTCAAAGAAACCAAACTAACCACATGAGGTAAATAATGACAGCTGTCTACAAAACAAAATCTCTTCATGTTTCAAACTCAATAATGAGGAAAAGAAAAGGCACATTTTTGAAATTCCTTTAAAAAGTAAGTATACATTATACTTTCTCCATTTTTTTTTTGTAAATCTCTTGATTATGCAAGAGTTTAAAGTTACAGCTTTACATCTTTACAATATTTTACCAGTGTACAATAAATCAGGTATGATACAAGCCATAACCAGTATCCTAATACGGTGTTTCAAACATTTAAACTTATGTGTTTTTTTTGTTTTTTTGTTTGTTTCTCAAAGCGTGGTTTTGTTATTTGCGTAGGGTATCTGAGTGTAACAGTGAGACTCGCAGGTTTCCGCAATCATAGTATTTATACGGTTCAACAATATGCTATGTGTACAGACTGAAGGGATATCTAGGTGTTTGCAAGTAAGGCGGCTTACTTAGTTCGGACTCGCAGGTCCACATTGGTGTTGTTGGGTATGCATTTGCCATGCGGATGTGGTGGTGTTCATTGGGTCATGTTTTGTTACTAGTAATATATGTAGCAGAGATTCACCTGCTTGTCTATGCGTTGCTTTTCGGGTCAGAATCTCTCTCTGGTCTATTATTGTGGGAAATAGTTTCTGTAACGGAGCTCCTTTGTACTCCGACCGAGTACCCTCCGTTGACGGATGCTCCTAGCGTTTCCTGAGGACTCCAAGCGCTGCAGCAGACACCACAACCACCGCAGACTCCGCATCTTGACTGGAGTCTCGCCGTCTTCCTTCCACCCTGGATCAGCTTCTGTCCTCCAGGACTGTGTGGGAAAGAACTCTTCCTTCCACCCTGTATGAACCTCCAGCATCCAGGACTGTGTGGTGAAGACCCCTCCTCCAAGGAGAGCGTGTCAGGAACAAGCTCTTAAAAGAGCTAAGTGACTCAAGCTCAGGGGAGCATGCAGAGCATAGCAATCCCCAGTGTGATTATAACAGCTCCCTCCAATAACGAGACAAGGCTACGTTTAGAGGGATCAAGAAGAACTGTCAAAACCTTTATTCCCTTGGGACCAGCCAATACAGTCACCACAATAACATTGTTGTGAAACCTCAATAAAATCACAAACAGTCAAACCATATCAAGAAACACACAGTGACTTATCACAACACAATGGCACATTTTTAAAGGGGTGGGGGGAGACAATATTTAACAGTAAATATCTCACCTGCCTGCAGAATTAGCAATATGCAAATCTACCCGAATATGCAAATGAACCAGTCTTGCAATTCAGGTAGTGCATATTGCTGTTGCTACCAACAGAGGGCACTAGACCAGCTCCATAGCCAAACCCACCTAGTTGGTAGCAAACCTCAGCAATACAAGAGAGCAGGCAATACATTACACAGTACACACACACACACTATAAACAATTACATTACACACACCCTGCACCTATAATGGGTACAGGGTGACTAAAACATAGGATAAATAAAGCAGCCCACATAAATAGTCTGTCTGAAGGTAGACTAGGGGCTTTAAAGCCAGATAGATGAAAGAGTCATAGTCACAGGGGAGGAGGCTGGCAAGTAGGCCTCTCCAGGACCAAGTGGCGAAGGGCACTTCGTCACAGTTTCCGTGTGTTGGCTAGTAGTTTGTGTGTGAGATGCCTTAGTCTTTGTTTCACTGATATGCTTGCTGTGGGTATTGTTGCCAATCCTTGTGGCAGAGCCTGCGGTTCGCGTGGGTCCCTGATCATGTTTTACATGTTGTTGATATTGTTGAGTCTCGTATGTAGGTTTTCTCACTTACTTTCTCCATTTTTTTATGTACATCCTGGGTTACATAGTTCTTTATAGGCTGGGTAGAGCCATAGGAACATCTCTGCCTTAGAACTGCAAAAACTATAATCATTTTTGTTAGTTGTGAGAATATGTTTGCAGATTTCTTTTTTCATTATTTTTATGTTAAAATCATGTTGAGCACTTAAAGAGTTACTCCAACATTTGTGACCATTTCTGCTTTTCGAAGTGGTCATGGAGGTTGGCATCTGGATATGTGTTTTTTTTTTTCTGCTTAAAAGACTGCACATCTAGAGTGTTTTGTACTTAAGCGTCGAGGACTAGCTACACCCCCAGCACACGTTACTTTGGTATCCCAGAATAGAGTCTAATGGGAATTCTGTGCATATTTCATGTCTCTTGTCAGCATGCACTGCATGATAGCAACAGACATTCTCTGATTCGACTTGAGATCTGAGGACTTTAGAGGCCAAGGCAACACCTTAAACTCTGTCATGTTCCTCAAACATTCCTGAACAATTTTTGCAGTGTCAGGGTCATGCAAAGTTTTGCAAAGTTTACAAATTGTAAAAATAAAAGAAATAAAACCTTTAACATTTTTTTACAGGTTTTTTTTTTTTGGGGGGGGTGGGGGGGGGGTGCCAAGGGGGGTGCCAAGCAGGGTGCCAAGCACAGGATCCGCCCCGGGTGCCAAATGCTCTAGCTGGTCATGGCACCCCCCACCCGGCTGGCACCCGGGGCGGACCGCCCCCCCCACCCCCCCTTTAGTTCGCCACTGGTGTAGTGCCAGCTGTAAAGTTTGGTGTATGGGAATTAATGACATGATAAAAACAGAAAAAAAGGTGCGCTAAAATTTAAAGTGCAAATTCATTTAGCAGCATCAGCTGTGTGAAATAAAGTGCAATACATTGTTTCACTCACAAGTGATAAAGTGTGTACAAACGATCAACACATATGATCTAAAAGTGCAAAATGCATTATAACACTTCAAAGTGATATAGTGCATAAATTAATTTAACGTACACTAACACTATATCTGAGGTAAGTCACAGCTCCAATTGCAGTACATAAAAGAGAATACAAAACATATATAGTATAGTATTGCAGGGTAAAAAGTACTGAATTAATAGTGAGATAAGAAATTCACAAACATAGAGCAGATGAGTCTGCTCTACCTTGAATAGCCCAAATCTATAAAGAGATTTCCACTGTAGCCAGTAAGGATAAATGAACGGCTTTATTTCCACACATATGAATAAAAATGCTTAGTAGCAAATATCACCAGATCCTAAGTTGCGACAGTCCTGCCCTGAGTCCGTGTAGCCGCCGGCTGTTGGTAGTATTCGTACACGCTCAGGATAAGGTTGTGTCTTCAGCCAGGATACTTCCGGGAGACAGAGAATACGTGATGACGTCTACTCCTGGTCAGATGACGCGTTTCGCGGAAGGATCGGCTTCTTCAGATCTGACTACCTTCACACACAGAGTCCTTTTTAAATCCACCCAGAGGGCATGATACATTTTAAAAGTTACTCCTACTGGCTGTATAAAAAACCTCATTACCATAATGACGAGAAACTAAAGACTTAATCTCATTAGGGTTCAAGCAGCCTATGCATACATTGCATAAACATTTCATGAGAATTGTACATTCATAAATTACAAAAATATACATAGAAAGGTGTAAAACTTTTTTATACGGTAAACTTTCATATTTAGAGGTAAAGTGACCTAACATTAAAAACATTGGAAAACGTCATGATGTGCGTACGTGCTGATGCTTGTGCTCGTGCCCCGTGATGACGGAAGAGGAGGGGGTACCCGCCAAGACCTAGCGTGAGCGGAGTCTTCGCTGGCTTTTCTCCGTTAGCCAGATCCTGCTTTGCCTGTAAGAACCAGTTTGAGGCGTGCAGGATCCCTGCAAAGAGATTACCTTACCTGGCGGTGTACTGCGAGTATTTTGCAGCCGGCTCCGGTCTGGTCCGGTCTGGTTTGTATCTCGTGCTGCTGCAGTTATAATGAACACGGTTGATGTTCCCACTATGATGGCTCACTCTTGCTGTTGATCCAGACTCTGTTTTACCTGGAAGAACCCGTTCAAGGCGTGTTGGACCCCCGCAAAGAGATTACCTTATCTGGTGGTGTACTGCCGGCTCAGGTCTGGTTCGGTTGGTATCCCTTGCTGTTGTAGATATACGAAATCGGTTGATGGACCCACCATGATGGCTCATTGCTGCTATTGAGGTATTAGGCTTAACACAGCTGTGGACAGATAACTTATGTATACTATATACTGGCCTAGGTTATTATAGCCCTAATTATTTGTGCCTAGTTTTTGGCTTTTTTCTGCAATTGTTTATACTTGTTAGCCGCTGAGACTACTGAGTGTATTTGAAAGTCATTCAACTATTTGGGCTAAATAACTATTTGGCCATGAAAAAATCATATGAAACAAAATCCTCTACGAGGAAAGACAAAAAAGACTCTTTACAAGACAAACCACAAGAAAAGACACAGGATAAGTCTTTAACAACATATTTTTCACCTCAGCCACATCAGACTCTAAAGTATAGGACGACTGATATGGATCTCAGTTCAGAGAGTATGGAGTCAGAAGGTACAAAAAAGCCTGATAAGGAACCGATTACTATTTCACTGTTGCATACAAGTTTAAATGCCAATTTAGAAGAGATAAAATCTGAACTGGCCGTAATGGCTACAGAAATCAAAGCAGATATAAAAAAGGAAATAAATATCTTGACAACAAAATTGGAGGGTCTTGAGGTTAAATTAAAAGATATGGACTTCCAAGTAAATCTCCTGAATGATAACTATCAATTGGCACTTCGTAAAATTTCAGACCTCGAACTCAAAGTAAGTGATTTGGAAGACCGATCGAGGTGGAAAAATTTACGTTTTAGAAATCTGCCGGAGAAGGGAACCCAGGACAATGCCAAACAAATTGTGATAGAATATATATCGGCCCTGGGGATTACATACAATCCTTCAGATCAACTAATTGAAAGGTGTCATAGACTATTCAAACCGAAATCTCCTCAGAATGATTTACCTCGAGATATTATGGTTTGTTTTTTTGCATTTGATTTCAAGGAAACGATTTTAAAAGCTGCCAGATTAAATCCGGTCTCTTCAGGTCCCTTCCAGAATGTCAAGGTGTTTCAGGACTTATCATTCGAAACTAAAGCCCAACGTAAAAAGTTTGGCTTTGCTACCCAAATTTTATGAACTCAAAATATAAGATATAGGTGGCTTTTTCCTTCAAAATTTAGCCTATCGTATGAGGGCAAAAGGGAAGTGTTTGATTCAAATGGGAAATTGACAGATTGGTTGAAAAGAAACAAAATTTTGGTTTAGCTATGTGTATATATATATATATTTTTTTTTCTTTTTTTATAAGATGATCACTAGTTTTTAATAATGGAGATGGTGTCCGAGGAACACCAACAAGTTAAATTAGGTTGAAAGATTTATTTATAAAATTTGGTAAATGTAAAATAATCAAGCAACCAAATTTTTGAGTGCTTGATAGGGCACTTTGATATAGATAATCAGAAATATGGGAGAAAGCTTCAAGGAAAATTTAACACATTTTAATACTAGTGAACTCACTGATGGCACACACATTGGATCACATTGGATTATTTATATAAGATATGTGTACAATTTCGGGTTATAATGTGAATAATGCACCGATATAGTAAAAGAAGTGTGATAATAATGGGCAAAATAAATGTAACAAAGGAAAATGTCACTGTATCACAGTATATATTACAAAATGAATTATATATATATATATATATTTTTTTTTAATAAGATGATCACTAGTTTTTAATAATGGAGATGGTGTCCGAGGAACACCAACAAGTTAAATTAGGTTGAAAGATTTATGTATAAAATTTGGTAACTGTAAAATAATCAAGCAACCAATTTTTGAGTGCTTGATAGGGCACTATGATATAGATAAGCAGAAATATGGGAGAAAGCTTCAAGGAAAATTTAACACATTTTAATACTAGTGAACTTACTGATGGCACACACATTGGATTATTTATATAAGATATGTGTACAATTTCGGGTTATAATGTGAATAATGCACCGATATAGTAAAAGAAGTGTGATAATAATGGGCAAAATAAATGTAACAAAGGAAAATGTCACTGTATCACAGTATATATTACAAAATTAATTATATATATATATATATATATTTTTTTTTTTTCTCTGGCTATTTTTGCCATTAGATATTTTTATGCAACGTTTGTACTGTTAAGCAGTGTTCGGGAATTTTGTTAACCTATGAAAAAAGACATATAAGGTCTGGATTTAGAATTATTTAGAACTATTTGATTATCTGTGATTTGTTCATGGATTTCAATTAGATATTTAATGTATATATTAACGGGAGATTGCCCCGAATGTAGGCTCCGCGGTAACGATACAGGGTCTCCCCTCTGGTGTAGTAATACTACATTATTTTCATTATGCCCTCATGGGCATTAATGGATTCATTAGTTTTATATTTATTTATAGTTGTTTGTTGTGCCTTGATGATGGACTGGCATACATTCTCTTATCAAAGCGTTTTTATGTCAATTTGTTTCTATTTTTCTTTTTATGTGTTGTTTCTTATTCTGAGCAGGAGCTTTCTATCTGATATTATCCATGCTTTTCTATGTTGAAGATATTGTCGATAAATACTCAGGGGCTTAATACCAATAAGAAAAGAAATCGCTTGTATAATTCTCTGGTAGATCATAACATACAACTTGCTTTTTTACAAGAAAAAATATTCCAGACAAAAATGGGGTGGAGATAACTACCCATTAATTATTCACGCCTCTTTGGTAGAAAAAAAAAGAGGGGTAGCATTGGTATTTAATAAAGATCTTAAAATTGATGTTATACATTTGGAAATGGATCCGGACGCCAGGTTTTTTATTTTGGTTTGTAACATCAATGATAGGACCTATACTTTGGTTAATGTATACCTCCCCAATGTTGACCCTATGGCCAAATTCTCTTTAATTATGGATAAAGTTGATAAGATCTCTAAGGGTTCCTTGATTATTGCTGGCGACTTTAATTGTGTTAATGACCCCAAATTGGATAAGTCAACAATATCTTAAACTACGAATAATAAAAGAATTAATAAACAGGCCAAAAAATTACAGAATATTTGTAAACAACTTAATTTATATGACATTTGGAGACTATTACATCCATTCCAAAGAGATTACTCCCATTTTTCTAGTGTTAATGGTACCTATTCAAGGATTGACTATTGTCTAGTTGACTCAAATACAATCCCTCTTATTAAATCTATTGATCTTAAGGATAATCCTTGGTCTGATCATAGTTTTTTATTATTTGATCTTGGCAAAAGGTCATCATTGTCTCGCACCACTTGGAGACTAAATGACTCCCTTATTAAAGATGAATCCAATAGGGAGGAGTTGTTTAAGTTATTAGAATATTTTTGGTCTGAAAATAATCCAGCCGACACTTCTCCTATGATTAATTGGTGTACTCACAAATCTGTTATGAGGGGCTACTTAATTAAAATGGGTTGTATTTACAAGAAAAAGAATGGTAAGAATTTAAAGGATTTATATATTGAATTTTATTCATGCTCTCATTTAAATAAACAATACTCTAATTTAGAGTTGAGGACTCGTTTAAACCATTTAAAACAACAAATTAATTTGAAGGAGGAAGAAAAGATTAAGTTTAACATAAATAAGTTACATTTAAATAATTATCATACGGGTAACAGAGCTAATAAAAACTTAACAAAAAGACTTCGAAATCAATATGCGAGGAATAGAGTAGAAAAACTGGTCATTGACCAAATAGTTTACTCTACCCCTTCCCTAAAGGGCAAAAATTAATCAATTTTATCAGGACTTATATAATTTAAATTTATACCCTGAAATAAAGGATATTCAAAATTATTTACATAATACAATAATTCTGAAAATTACTTCACAGGAACTGGTACTTTTAAATAAGAAAATTACTATGGAGGAAGTTAAATACCAAATAGATAGACTTCCCATAAATAAAACTCCGGGGCCTGACGGCTTCACAAATTTATATTATAAACATATGAAGCCACATTTATTAAACCCTATTACTCAATTTTTTAATCAATTAGCTGAAAATAAAACCATTCCAAAAGAATTATTACAATCTAATCTTGTTCCCATATTGAAACAGAATAAGGATGGTACCGACCCGTGCAATTATAGACCGATTGCGTTAATTAATGTAGATATGAAGTTATATTCAGCTATTATTGCTGAGAGAATTAAAGTTATTATATCGAAACTTATCCATCCTGACCAGATTGGGTTTATCCCTGGAAGATGGGCATCAAATAACTCCCGGAGATTGATTGATAGCATTGACTGGTCAAACAGACATAATATTCCCCTCCTGGCCCTGTCATTAGATGCCGAAAAAGCGTTTGACAGGGTCAGGTGGGGATATTTAAGCGAAGTCTTGAAGGCATTCGGTTTTACGGGATGGATATATGGTGCTATTTTAGCTCTATATTCCTCCCCTTCAGCTAGAACAGTGGGTCCGAATATAACTGCAGGGTGGTTTGATCTTAAAAATTGAACTCGACAGGGGTGTCCTCTTTCGCCCTTATTATATATCTTATCGCTTGAACCTTTAGCCACTAATATTAGGAATAACTTATTAATTAGCGGTGTTAAAATAAAACTATGTGATGCTAAAATTTCTTTATATGCGGATGACGCTTTAATTACCCTGTCTTTCCCTGAAAAATCTCTCCGGCCCTTAATGTTTGAAATTGAGAGATACTCCAGTATATCTAATTTCAAGTTAAATATTTCAAAATCAATAGCCTTAACCATTAATATGCCTTCAGACTTGGTTGATAATTTATCCCAGAATTATAATTTTATGGAATTAAATTATTTGGGTCTAACAATCCCTGTAAGTGTTTCGACTATAATGGAGAGAAATGTTTTAATCTTAATGAAAGATATGAACCTTAAATTAAAAAAATGGCAACATTTGGAAAGGTCGTGGATAGGTAGAATTAATATTATAAATTCCTATATCTTACCTACATGGTTATATCTTTTTTCTATGGTCCCATTAAAAATGCCTAAGCCTTGGTTAGCAATGATTCAATCATGTTTCAATAAATTTATTTGGAAGAACAAAAGACCTAGAATTAATCAAAACATTTTATCTACAAAATTATCCCCAGCCTTGGCTTTCCTAGTATTACATATACTTATTTTGCTAATATATCCGTCATATTTACATTCTCCAAGATCCTCAGGTTCGTAGGGAACCATGGTATATTTTAGAGTCGGAAGCTGCCCACTCTTCTAGATTGTATCATTATATGTGGATGGATCTCAAAGAGATTCTGAGAGTCAAATAGTTGGATTCCATCCACGTTGTTTTATACTATAGAAGACTGGGCAGAAATTAAGAAAATTTTGAATATTGTAGAACTAATACCTAGATCTTCTAATCTTAACATTTTGGAGTGTATTATAGAGGACTTCTCATTGTCTTCTTGGGGAAATATTGATTCATTAACTATTTCAGATATTATGCAATGAGATAATATTCAGTCTTTTCAACAGATTGTTGATAATATACATATTTCTCCCAGAGAGATATTTACTTATCTGCGAATCAAACATTTCATACAGAAATGTGTTATTCCAACTTCTTTTCCGTTGGCTAAGAAATTGGAAACTCTATTTAGCCATCGAACGGTTTCTAAGGTTACCTCTGTTGCTATCTCTTTGCTTGATGAATCTAGGATAATACCTCATAAATTGATTAATATCTGGGACAAGGAATTCAATCTAGTGATCCCCCTTAAGGACTGGCTAACTTCTTTAACTAATGTAAATAAATATATACATTGTTTAACTCTGACTGAATGCCATTTTAAGGTAGTACACAGATGGTATTTTACTCCAACAAGAATGTATGAAACATACGATTCCACCTGTTGGAGGTGTGGCTCGTGTTTGGGCACATATATGCATATATGGTGGGACTGTCCATTAGTCAAACCGTTGTGGATATGGGCGTTTAACATCATTTATACAGCTATACGTATTAAACTTAATCAAAATCCGGTCATCGCCCTTTTACATCTGAATTGGCAATTAAAGTCGCACGAACATATCTGCTTTGTTATACATTGTTTTGTTGCTGTCAAAATT